GAGCGGACTGGTTCTTCACGCTCAAGCAGATGTGTTTTGCTTTTGTTTCTTGGCGCTCGAGCGGTCATCCTTGCGCTCGAGCAGTACCAGATATTTGTGCCTGACGCTCGAGCGTTCTATTCTCAGCTCGAGCGGGTCGTGCGTATATGAGTTATTCGCTGGGTGATTTTAAATCACTTTTCACTTTTCTTTCTCTCTCCTACTTTTTCAAAAACCCATTTTTGAGAGCTCCTCTATCTAGAATCTCCCTTCTCTCTAGGGTTTGATCTAGCTAGGGTGTTCTCCTTACCTTTGGTTTTTGTAAAAGTTGGGTTGATCGTCACGGGTTATCTTTTGATCTGAAAATATTGAGTTTCGGAGCACGTTGAGTTTCTTCGTCTTCTCCGTTGAGTGTCATCTTTTGAGGTAGGGATATCCTACTCTTCCTTATGGATTTTGTCTTTAAATTTTAGCATTTTGATATGTTGGGTGTTGTTGGGTAGATTTGAGAAGGTTTTGGGTCTTTTGTGTAATTTTACAAAAGTTGGGGTTTTGTTTGAAATAGACCTATATGCAAGTTTGGTATGAAAGAAAATGAGTTGGATGATGGATAGTGGATGAAAATGAAACCTTAGAGTTGTTTTGTTAATTAAGGTAATTTGCCCTAATTGTTTTAATTAATTAATGTATATAATTGATTAAAGGAAATGAGGAATAGAATTGGAAATGTTGAAATTGGGAATGTATGGGACTAAAGGGTGTAGTTAAATTATTTATTGCTCACCTAATTGAAATGTTGATATATTATCCATTTGTGCATTTATTTCCTGTTTAGAAATAATTGCTTTGGGCTACCGGTGGAGGGTAGTATTGATTGTTGTAGAGAATGCATGATGATTAGGTAAACTAAAACTAATCAATCAGATATGTCATAGAGTATGACGATTGATAGAATACATTAACTTTATGTATTGGTTGATTGTGTATATGACCAATGTGTTTATATGCATTATGTGTAGACGGTTGATAGAATACATTAACTTTATGTATTGATTGATTGTGTATATGACCAATGTGTTTATATGCATTATGTGTAGACGGTTGATAGAATGCATTAACTTTATGTATTGATCGATTATATATATGATTCTGTGTTTATATGCATTGCTTGTGTATGGGAGGAGATGTGGGATGTACTCCACGATTTAGGGGAAGATGGGGCATGTACCTCTAAACTGGTTAATGGTTAAGGGAAGATGGGGGATGGACCCGGGGATGCAGCTCATACGCTCTCCCATTGAAGTATTGATACAGCTCATATGCTTATCTAGTTGAAGTGTTGATACAGCTCATATGCTTATCTATTGGAATGTTGATACAGCTCATATGCTTATCTGTTGTAGTCTTGATATAGCTCATATGCTTATATGTTGAAGTATTGATATAGCTCATATGCTTATATGTTGAAGTATTGATATAGCTCATATGCTTATCTGTTGTAGTCTTGATATAGCTCATATGCTTATCTGTTGAAGTATTGATATAGCTCATATGCTTATTTGTTGAAGTATTGATATAGCTCATATGCTTATCTGTTGTAGTCTTGATATAGCTTATATGCTTATCTGTTGAAGTATTGATATAGCTCATATGCTTATCTGTTGAAGTATTGATATAGCTCATATGCTTATCTGTTGTAGTAGTGATATAGCTCATATGCTTATCTGTTGTAGTAGTGATATAGCTCATATGCTTATCTATTGAAAAGTTTGTTTAATTTGATATAACATTAAAATGTATATCATCATCATTTGCGAAGTATGGAAGTAGTTTATGTGTTATTGATACAACACCAAAATGTGTATCCATCTTGAATTTCGAAAGTGTCCTAGTGATGAACTATAATCTCATCAAATGTTTTGGCCAGAGTACTGAGCCTTGTTTTCAAACTCAAAGTTGAATAAGAAATGGGAAGTGAATTGTAGCATAGACTTGGCTGTCATGGAATTGTAATAAGAAGTAAATGGAAGTGTAAGTATTGACCATCTATCAGTTGCTAATCTTTTAGGCATTGTTCATAGTCGGTTTAGTATGTTTCTACTGGGCTGTGGCTCACCCTATATGGGAACATCATTTTCAGGTACAGGTAGCATGCCACCTCCAAGGACATGGCTTGGGAGGCTAGAGACGGATAGATTTTTGTTGTTTTATTTCGTTTTGATGTACTACATGTAAATTCAAGCCAAGGGCTTAATGTGTAATTGAGTTAGTACTCTCTTTTGTAACCAAGTGTTAACTTGGAAAGCTGTAAGTCCGTAGGGCATTTGCTTTTGTTGTTAACAGGTAATACTTTTGTAATGAAATACTCTGATGAGTTGAAGAATGTGGAGCTTTTATATATAAATGCATGTTTATATTGTTGGGTTTAATGTTATTATTTTGAGGGCGTGACATCTAGAACTACCAAGTCATCTTCATGATTTAGACCCATGTTAGCTAAAGCATCTGTATGTTTGTTGCCCTCCCTCTGTGTGTAATGCTCCCAAATTATCTAAATTAAAACCTTACTCATGATATGATTAACCCGAAATTATACAATATCAATTTGTTAGCATTTGTCCCCAAATCCCTCTATCTCAGTGAACTACACTTCAAAAATTACAACTTTCATTTTCAAATCTTAGTTACATCACCATTTACATAGTCCAAGAAGTTAGATGATACAAATTTAAAATGTCCTAATGGCTTACAAACAATCAAGGCAAGGCATTGAGACAACAAAATGGACACTCAGTCCCAAAATAAATAAGCTCGGAGCTTTCACGTAATATATCTATGATCCTTTGTGCTCCAATCAACAAAAAAATTTCCACCTCTTCCTTATTTAGGTGGTTGCACACTACCAAGTCCTGAAAATGTTAGTAAAGAATGAGTTTGGTACCCAGTAGAAATACTTTTAACAGAGTATCTAATTGTTCGAAAATCCATATGGCATTAGCACAACCAAACATATTTGCTTCAATCCATGATAAAGATTTAAGAAGATATACAAAGGTGTTTATAGATTCCACAAAATCACAATTCAACATTGGGGGATAAATACACCATGAAGCTCCTAAGGAGAGTCCCAATACATACATATATACAGGTTTATATCCAAAATATCCCCACACTTTCTGGCTATTAATACGGCAAGGAATGGGTACCCAAAATCATATGTTTTTTACTGACTACAATACGGCAGGACCAGTGGACCCAAAAACATTTTCCCACATTCGTCCAGCGATAAGCTCAAGACAGGACAATTGGGTACCTAGACTTTCTCTCTTGCGGGTACCAACAATGCATCACCCTTTCCAAAATCAACTCTCTACCCGGACTTGATCAAATTCCTTTCACATTTACAAATAGAATTTCATCACAACTCTGACAAATAAATTGTATATTAAACTTGCTAAAACTCTTTTCTGCATTCACACTTTATAGCTACAATGCAACAATTGATTCTTTTAGCCGCAAAATAGTTCCCACTACTATTAGATCTCTTGTTTTACAATGGCATGGAAACTGAAGCATGGTCTTTTATGTTCTCAACCACGAGATTGAATTAACACCAATAGCTTTTCATAAAGTTTCTTTTACTAAGGGCATTTCAAAATATATCCTCATTCATGTCATGTTACTTCAGTAGGGAGGAAAAAAAAAAGAAGACTAGAATTTTAATGTTAAATGGTCATTGATACGAATCCCTAAAATAATGTCAGATATATTACATAATATTGCCTTAAGTAAATTATTCTGAAAAAGGCATCAACATAGGAAAAAAAATAAAAATTCACATGCTATTTACCACCCCCTTAAACAACCTTTCCAAGACTTCCAAAGATTTATACATCCATGAGAACAAAGATAAATATCACCATTCAAGTAATTAAAGCAATTATGGAGAGACAAGCCTCCTAATTCAAAAGAAAATCTCAAGATCCTTCAATTTCACTAGTCTCAAATTAAAATACCTCTCTAATCTCATAATTTGTTCATCATTTTAAAGAATTGAAATTCAAATCCATTTAATTACATTTTTCCTCAATTTCAAAAATTATGGTTTTCTTAAAGTTTGGAGATTTTGCCCCTTCATCATGTTAAATACTATTTCTCAATTAAAATTTCCATAATCCATAGCATTAATAAAAATCTTGAGAAAAATATAGAGAAATTTTCATTTTTGAAAGTGAAATCAAATTTGTAAACTCAAACATTAATCATATCACTGTCACAACAATACCACATAAACATCTTCAAAGTAAAGAGATACAAGGTTAAAAAGTAGTCCTATCTCAAGAATCAAGACAAGAAGGCTAGGTTTTAGAGGAACTCTTCGTAAAATTCGAATCCAATTGGTAGAATCCAAGATCTCCAAGTGAACTTCACTTTTTGCAAAAGCTTTTAGCTTGAATCTTAGTGAAATGAGAGATTTCTAGAGAGATATTACTAGGGGTTTCGGAGCTAGAGAGAGAAGAGAAGAAAGAAAAGAAAAGTTAAAAGAATGATCTAGAAAGTAACTTTTTAAGTTGCTGAAAATCGCACTGATTGTTCGAGCGGTGAACTTAAACATTCAATATTTCTGCCTGCAAAACGAGACTTTAGGAATAACTTCTTCTTTGCTCAAGTGGTAACTTGATTGCTCGAGCGGTCCTCCATTCCACTTGGCTTGCAAAACCAACTACTTGGAGTATCACATCTTTGCTGGAGCAGTCTCTTCACCGCTCAAGCGGTCACTTGGAATGAAGATCTTGGAATGAATTTTCACAATCTTCATTCCTTAAGGAATTTCGCCCCGAAATAACACCAATTTACAATGCTACAACAACAACATAATAACAGCACACTAATTACAAGTCATCATCAATTCGAATAGCAAATGGATAACCTTTAACGAGGGATGCGAGGAAGATACAATAGAAAAAGCATGTTACCTTTGGTTTACTATACATTAAAGGAAAAACGAAACAAGAGAAAGATTACATATTATCAAATAAATCCTGGTATTTCTCGCGGATTTCGACCTCATGCACCCAAGTTGCTTCCTCAACCCTGTGATGATGCCATAACACTTTAACTAACGGAATGGTCCTACCCCTCAATACTTGCTCTCGGGTATCTACAATTTTAACCTGTTTCTCTTCATAAGATGTATCCTCATCAACCTTGACATCCATCCAATCTAACACATGGGAAGGGTCGGGCTCATATTTATGAAGTATGGAAACGTGGAACACATTGTGTACTCTAGAGAGTTGTGGTGGTAAGGTAAGACGATACACAACCTCTCTTACTTGTTCTATAATGTTGAAAAGACCAATAAACCATGGAGATAACTTCCTGCTCTGACCAAATATCATCAATCCCCTCCTAGGAAAGATTTTCAAGAACACGTGATCTCCTACCTCAAAGGACAATAACCTCCGCCTCCGGTCAGCATAACTTTTTTGATGGATTTGAGCCGTAACTAATCTCTTCTGAATAAGAGCCATTTTCTTAGTGGTCTCACGAATCAACTCGGCCCTACTTCTGCCCAACAAACCGGTGACAATCAGCAAGATCAAACAAAGTAAACAAAGAAAACTAAAGATGATTTCAAGATGGAGCCACCAATGTTTACAAAGATTACAAATTATAGAGAGAAACTACTCCAAAATTTAGATTAAGCTACTCCTAAGATAGAATTAAGTTGTTATGTTGTTGTTAATGATGTCCCTTTCCCTTTGGCCCCTTCTGCTTTTATACCTCCCCATTTTTCTCTGGCCTATGATTGCATGATTCCCCTAAATCCTACAACTGCTATTGCACAACTGCTGCAACTACTCTCTCATTTCCCAACCCTCAAACTTCGCCAATTCTTCATTTCTATTTGTCGAACCACCTCTCCTTCATGTTGCCACATGCCCCTCAGTCCTTTGGACCTTCTATCGATAGAGAAAAACTTCCATTCTGCACATAACTCTTCTTGCAAGTTGCCCACCAAGCCCATGACCTAGCTTGATAACTGCTCCATCATCTAAACCATCAAATGTATGTGATCAATCTCTCTGATGCCACCTGCCCCTTGACTGCTGAAAGACTTCATTTTGACTTCACTGCCATGTGTCATCATCCGATTAATCCACTTGTCAATAGAAATTTTAAAAAAAATGGGTGTAGAGAATGCCCTCCTCATTTAAGGTAAAAGTGAATTTTGCCTTAAATGATATAAAAGACAAAACTTGGAACAATCAATATTTACTAAAATTCATAGACTATTTTGGCCATAACCGACATGCCATAATCAATAAGACTAAATTTATGGTGCAAACAATACCCCCAATTCTTTAAGAATGGAATCACTCATACTTACTAAAACAAGGCGTATGTCCACACTCACAGCATTTAGCAAAAATTTTGAAACCAAAAAATATTAACATTTTTTGTGGAGTTCAACATGGTCATCATTATTTCAATGTTCCTTGCTTCAATCAATATTGGTAGTGGCTCTTCCAACAAACTAGTCGACATAAATTTTTTTATTCTTTCTTCTGTCGATTTGTTAACTCCCTCAAACTTCATTATTTATTTATCTATTTTTTCAAATTCTTTCTTTTGTTGATTTTTACATAATTAATTGGCCCTCTGTCGATTTGTCAACTTCCTCAAACTTCATGCAGAATTTAAACCATTGGCCATTGTTTGGCCGAGTAGTGTCTTTTATATAAACATTTTATGTATTTTTGTATTGTATCAAACTTACAAGAATAAAATATTTTTGTCAACCAATTTAACAAAATCAACTTTTGATGTGAACCACTCCATGGTGGTCGTTGGGTAGTAAAAACCATAATATCAAATGGCTTTAGAAAATCAAAACTTTTGACAAAATTAACAATGTCAAAAAATTCAAATTCGACAAACGCGGGTTTGTTCATAATTTTCAGCCACTTTTGGCCTAAAATCATGCCCCTAAGTAAATCTTCGCTATCATTTTGTGATGGATTTTCATCATTTTTTTGCCAAAAGGGAATGCTTTTGTATTTCAGCAATTAATGGCTTGGCACTCTTTGCCATGTCTGGCAAAAAATATGCCTCCCAAGTGTATTTTCACCCACATTTTGTAATGGATTTTTAACATCTTTTGAGAGAATGGATTGTTTTTCTATTTTAGCCACTATTGGGCAATGAAAATTTTCCAAAATCATGTTATTTTCATGACTTGGCGTACTAACCCTTTGAGCCATATACCTTTGCTTTTCATAAATAATTGGCTCCTTAGGAATATGGATATTAGCCTCCCAAGCCACATTATTTTCATACCTGAATTTTTTCTTGGCCATTATGCCTTCTAAATTATGCTTCCAATATCGAATTTCTTCATCAATTAAGTAAATTTGGCCCTCAAGTTGATGAATTTTTTCATCAGAATAATTTAAATCTATTTGCATCAAATAATATGGAGGTGATGAAATTATTTAAAATCTTTGTCAATAAAGAGAATTAATTTCTCTTCTTATGGCCATACTTTCACTACTGTGCCAATAAATTTTATCCTTACAACGCCAAATCAGATCATTTATCATGTCATTATGTTGGCAATAGGTGTTAGAATCATTGCCACAATATTGGCAATTTTTAGACATGAAAGATGAGACATTCCATTGATAATTTATACCTACGGGAATGCTACCAATCCATTGGCGGTTTGCATCCATGGGTACATAAGACGTAGACATGCCACTTGAAGGCATGATTCCATACGCATTTGTTCACTTCTTCATCGCCATAACTCCAAATTAGGATGTTGTCCCATTGGGTGTGCCAAAAATTGTTAGTAAAAATTAAGTTAGGGTTGGATTGACAGCAACCAAGTAGTTATTCAAACTAAACAACTTAAACAGAAACAATCAAACAATTGTAGTTCTGGTTCGAATGCCTCAAAAGGATGAGGACTTCTTTGGATTAACTGATGGTAACGACGTAAACAAGAAGAAAACAAACTGCTTTATATCAATTGATGATAACAAGGTAGACAAGATAAATAAAAGTAATTTCAGATTGAAATTACCAAGACTCATCTAGTTACAAAGTACAAATTACAGTAGAAGAAACTACTCCTAAACTAATAAAGCTACTTCTAGATTATGCTAAGTCTAAAACTAGTTCTTTGTGTCGTTGATGATGTCCTTTTCCCCTTTGGCACCTTTTGCTTTTATACCTTCCCATTTTTCTCTGGCCCAAGATTGCGTGATTCCCCTAAATCCTGCAATTGCTACTGCACAACTGCTACAACTGCTCTCTCACTTTCCAACCTTCAAACTTCGCCAATTCTTCATTTCTATATGTCGAACCACCTTTCCTTCATGTTGCCACGTGTCCCTCAGTCTTTTGAACCTTCCATCAACAGAGAAAAACTTCCATTCTGCACATGACTCTTCTTGCAAGTTGCCCACTAAGCCCATGACTTAGCTTGATAACTGCTCCATCATCTGGACCTAGCTTGATAACTGCTCTATCATTTGAACCATCCAATGCATGTGATCAATCTCTCTAATGCCACATGCCCCTTGATTGCTGAAAGACTTCATTTTGACTTCATTTCCACGTGTCATCATCCGATTAATCCACTTGTCGATAGGAATTTTGCAAAAATGGGTGCAAACAAATATCTAGACTAAAGATTGGAGGGACATGCAGCCCTGGAAGAAAGTCTTCATTTTCTCCGAGTGTTTGTATTTGTTGAAAAATATGAAAATTGATTTTTTTGATGATAAGAGAAACCAGAATACTTATCCTTTTTTGTATTCATGCTGTAACAACACTAATAGTTTTATTTGTAAGTCCTAAAAAATTTTCATCTTCATAAAATGAAGCAAATTTAAGGATACAATAATTTCAAATATCACATCCTGAATCATGTTTATAGACATGCAGCCCTGGAAGAAAGTCTTCATTTTCTCCGAGTGTTTGTATTTGTTGAAAAATATGAAAATTGATTTTTTTGATGATAAGAGAAACCAGAATACTTATCCTTTTTTGTATTCATGCTGTAACAACACTAATAGTTTTATTTGTAAATCCTAAAAAATTTTCATCTTCATAAAATGAAGCAAATTTAAGGATAAAATAATTTCAAATATCACATCCTGAATCATGTTTATAGAAACACTTCTCCTGTGGTATGTGTACTTCTTAAAAATCTTGGTTGTACTCTCCTTTTATTGATGAAGTTTCTTTCTTCCCAAAAAAAAAAAAAAAAAGAATCACAGACTATTAAAATTCCGATGAAATCTACTCTAGTTGCAACAAAATCATATATTTTTGTCAAAGTTTTATATTTATTCTAATGTAAAACACCGAACTTTTTTGATAATCGAAAAAATTACTGTCCTACAAGTTGAAAATAGTTACGCCAACGTCTCTTGAGTTTTAAATTGAATAATATTTTACCCCAGTTTGTAAAAATATCATTAATTTTCGGACAAAATCTATTTTGTGTTATAGTTTGATAGCACTTTACTCATTTGTCTTTTAAAAATAACCATATGCCCCCACATGATTTTGGATTAAAATGCAACTATTAATATTGTTAATTATAGATGTGAAATGATTATAATACCCTCAAACTCTATTTTTTGTTATTTACTTTTTCTCTCATCTCTCATACACATAATTTATGATGTCTAGTATTAATTCATTTAAATCACAATTAATTATAAAATTTTAATTATTTATTGAAATTCTTAAATTTTTTATTCTAGTTTTAATTTAATTATATTTTAGACCACAATTAATCCTAAATTCTTAATCATTTATTATAATTTATAACATGTTAATCTAATTTTAATTTAATTATAGTTTAGATCAATTCTTACTTATTGTTTATTTTATATTTTATTTAATTATATTTTAAATCAATTCTTAATTATATTTTAATTTAATTTAATTAACATATTAATATAATTTTAGGTTCGGAGAGAATGGGGATAAAATTGTCCTTTTGTTGTATTAATTTCATTCCAATTTTTCAAAAAACACAACTCACTTTAAAAAATGGTGTGTGTAATACACATTTCGTTAATTTGGATAAAAAACCTAATGGTAGTCCAAACCACATGGGGGTTTTATGATTATATTTGAATGATAGGGGGATAAGTATTTCAGCTCCAAACCATAAGGGGTAAAATAAATTTAATCCTGAATTTTTAATTGTGGAATTATTTAATTTAATAAAATTACATTTTATACTATTTTTTAACAAATTTAAAAATTACAAATGGATTGATCCGTGGGTTGTAAGCCTAAATAGGAAAACCCAATTTCAAAATTCACCACTTTACACCTTCACTCATCATTGAAAACCCACCGCCAGTGGCAGAGTTAGAATTTTGGCTTAAAAGGGCACCATTTGGTTGAAATTTTAACAACAATCACAATCTAACTTAACTTAATTTTTAAATTTTTATTCGATGGAAGAATTAAAAATTAGCACAATACAAAAGTTATATTT